TTGTTGTGATTTTATGGCCTGCGTTTATAGCGTTGTTTTTTTTTTATATGAAAAAGTTAACTGCATTCTTTGTTGTTGCTTGGGGGTCAGCAAATTGAATTTTTGTTTTATTGCCAGCTGTATATCTTATTGGATATTTGCCAGCTTGAACAAACAAAAGACTGAGGCAACGAACTTGTTCTCTCGCGCAAGCAAAAGTCTCAAGTTTCTCGGCTGTCAAACACATTTCCTGTCGCAATAGAAACTTTCACTGCGTCTCTCAATACCAAATTGTGATAAAAAGCATTAAAAGTCAATTCAACAAATTTCAGGAAATATTTTGCACCCTGCCGCCGCACCGCGCCGTCAACTGCCAGCTGCGGCGCCCCCTGGCTCCGACAGCTCAGACAGACGAGACACAATAAGCCACATACAACGGATTATTTAACGATTATCCAGCAGAGAAAAAAGTACCAAAAGAAATGTAGTTGCTTGGCCCTCTGCTGATTTATCATCCAGCTGCCTGCCGCTGTTCCCCCCTTTGGGGCCCACGACTGCGCCTTTTGTTTGCTTTATTTTGGATTTCGGATTTGCGGGCGCGTGGCATTAGCCGCCTTCGGCTGCAAATATGTTGTTGCGTGTTGCCTTATCAGAGAAATGGCCAACAAAAACGGTTGTGGCATGAATCTCTGTAGATCTGTGTGCTCTATTGTTTTCAATTGGGGGACTTTACAAATGGCCAAATGATGTACAGATATGCGGCACGTGCTGGCCCAGGCCCAGGAATCCCCGGCAGATATATCGGCCAAATGAAATAATGTACTTAAAAGTCGGTTCATTTCAAAGCGAACCATTTCAAATAATTATGCCATTTGTCATGGCCGGATTCGGAATGCATTTTGCGGCTCTTTAACGCATTCGCTTTGGTGATTTCTCCTAGACATTTTGTTGACTTTTATGTGAGTTGACAGCTGCTGATGACTTGTGGCTGCTTCATTACTGCCAGCAGCAGCAGCGGCAGCAGCTTGCAACAGTTGCTTGCAACAAGTTGCATGTTGCTTTGGCATTTCACGAAACGTGAGCGTCGGCAGTTTGTGTGTGCATAAAACATAGAAATAAAGTTGTTAACTACTATTGTTAAGCGCTATAAGACGGCGCAAAAACATTGTATATATTAATGGGCAGCGGCAACAAGAATATTTATATGAAGCGACAGCAGCAACAACTAAGTGGCTGAAGAAGAAGAAGCAGCTGAACAAGCAGCAGAGCATAAAAAATAATGACAAGCATAAATATCGACTTTACGATTGCAACGTGACTTCATTTAAAATCGAACAAAATATGCAAAATAATACCAAAAGCAGCAGCAGCAGCAACAACAAATAAACAACGCACACGTACAGCAGCGGGCGCACATTTAGAGCCACACGTGCGTGGTCAAGAACCCCAAACCAAATTTGGCACTTGCCTGAGAAATAAAGAAAACACCAAAAAAAAAAAAAAACAAAAATAACTGAAAATGAGAAACAAACAAAATAAAAATAATACCTATAAAATTTAATAAATTTTATGTACCATTATTATTTGTTGCTGTTGTTGTTGCTGTTACTTTTATTGTGCTGCCCTCTGGCAACAGTGGCTGTCGCTTTGCATTTTAAAGAGCTTCTCTTTGGCCGTCATTTCTTTTCAATTTGCTTAAGACGCGCGGCTCTATTAACAGCCATCAATATGCCAAATATAAATAAAAAACAAATACACATTTCGTCGTAAAAAAAAGATGTCAAATTGCCAACTGTTTTTGTTGAATTTTACAACATTTTTGCTGTTACAATAGACAATAGACGAACAACTGCGCTGTGTGGCGGCTCTGGCGATATTGAGCCATAAAGTTGGCCATTTTCAAATTTAGATTTCGAATTTTGACAGCTGCGCATAAAGTTGCTCATAAATGTCAGCCACAGGCAGCGCCGACAATGCTCGTATATAGTCACCTATATAGAGACTCCACACTGTCGCTGCTTATCCCAAACAAGTCGACCAATAACCCATAAAAACCCGACCGAACAATGACAAAAGCTTCAGAACTGCGGGAAATAATAAATTAAATGAGTAAATGGTAAATGCTTTGCAGGTATGCTGAATAGATATTAGAAATGGGCGCCCACACAATGCAAAGAAATCGAAATGAGAAAATAAATAAAACTAGAACTATTTATAGGGCAAATAAAACTCAAGTGTGGCTATAAATAACTCTTGATATATGCATGCACAACAAATTGCAAATGGCTAAAATTCGATGTAAGGCATAGCAATTAGGCAAACAGGGGTGTTCAGTAAAATTACTATAAAAAAGATTTACAAAAAAATTAACACAAAATAACAATTAAATAATAAGTCATAAATATTTTATGGCCACGGCACTTCTGCAAATGGGCCAAATCAATATCAATAAAACATTAGCTTGAAGAATGAAATGAAAATAAAACGCGAAAGTAAGAATACCTTTGGCACGCCGATGATTTAATACCCTTGCAGACATTTCCCTTTTGCAGATATGTGAAGATAGTGAAGATCGTAATGCTGAGAAACTAGTTCGCATAGAAACAGACAGACGGACGGACGGAGACGGACCTGGTTATATCAAGTCGGCTATTAATGCTGATCAAGAAAATATATACTTTATGACGTCGAAAATGTCTCCTTCTATGCGTTGCACATTTCAAGACAAAGTTATAATACCCTCTAGAAGGGTATAACAAAGTACGGTACAAGCTCGCGCTTCCTCGGATTGCTCAATTTATGCAAATGGCTTTTTTGTTCTCTGTGCGTAATGCCCATTTATCGCCGATTGCTGACAACGGCATTTTAATGCCTAAAAAAAACAAAAACAACTACGAAAAATGTATAAAAAATATCAGAAAATAACTTGGCGTACGCGCGTATTAAAAAGTATAAAAATAAAATATAAAAAATTACCTGCACATAATTTCACTAGACACAAAAGAACTTGGCTCAGGCGAAAGCCCAAAAGAACAGGTTCATAATTGAAATTCATGTTTGTTGTCGTTGTTGTTGTTGTTGTTGTTGTTGTTGTTGTTGTTGTTGTTGTTGTTGTAGCTGCTGTTGTCAATATGTCAGACTGAGGTACTTGCTGCTAGTTGGCCTGGACGCAAGTTACCGTTGTGTGCAGTTGTTGTCGCCGCCAAAGTCCGAGTCCAACTCGAGTAGTACTAATGCCAGAGTGGGGGCCACTTAAAGATTCCGCGTCGCTTCGGGGCGACGCGTTACGCATTTTTATGAGGTCATTTGCGTGTGAAGCGCACTAAATGCGGCCCACGCGGCAGCTGGAAAAATCGAATTCAATTCGTGGAAAACGCGCCAGGAAAAGCCACACTGACTGTGCCACAGCCAAAGCCAAAGCCAAAGCCAAAATATTACTCATATTCGCGGCAACAACTGGCTAAACAAAATCTATTAAAATTATCACACGCCACGTTGACCTCAGAGGCGAGCAAACATTTTTCAAGTACCGTTCCAAATACTCTCGTACTCGTACTGTTTTATGTGTCGGCGTACGAAAAATCAAAAAAAAAAATAAATAAATAAATAAAAGGAAAAAATACCGAAAAGAAAAAAAAACCGCAGCCAATAAAATGAAAAATGCTTGGCAAAAATATTGCGGCAAAATAATTTGCCACGCTCGTAAATTTTCAGCTCATAAAAAGAAACGAACTACGTTGGTGGGTTTCGAGGGTGTGTGTGTGTGTGTTGTGTGTGAGTCAGTGTTGAGCATTTCTCGAATTGAGTCAGATTTCGGCTTGGTTTTAGTAGGCTATATGCCTGGCCCTGATCAACACTCTACACTTTGATATATTGCCAGCCCCGACTCGCTGGCAGGCATCATTTGCATGTGAAAAGCCTGGAAAAAAGTTTCTCTAATTTGCCAAATGATTATTATGTGTGCCTAAACAACGTTAAGTGTTGTCATAAATTAGCTTGCAGACAATGTTGACGTTTGTCGCTGGGCTGTCTATAAAAAGTTGCTCATAAATTTCAGACAGCGACAATACTTTTTGGAGCCAAGCATTAAAACTAATCAAAATAGCGAGATGACCAAAAAGAACGCACATTGATGCCAAAAAAGTATTATAATACACCAAAGAAAACTAGGGTAGACAATAATCAATAATCGGCTATGTCTGGAAATATTCAGAAAATAAAATATCTGTATCAAAAGTACACTTATGAAAACTAGGGAAAATGTATTTCAGAAATTCACTAGAAAATGAAAAATTTCCTTACTTTCAAGTAATATTTTCTTAAAATATTTATTAATGGGTAACTTTTTCTAAATCTCCTATTACATTTTTTTTAAAAGCGTAGCGACAGTTATGCAGTTTTTTCCTTTTAAAATCTAATCATGAACATTTCCAGAATGATTTGCAATTAATTTAATTACGAATTGACAGTTCCTTCAATTTGAAAAGCCGTATTGGATAAGCGCTAATCGAATTGTAATCAATTGTCAAGAGTTTTCATATGATACTTCCCACTCAATTGTCAATAAGTTTAGAAAACTTGAATAGAATAAATTAATTTGCGCAAAGTCAGCGTGTCGACTCTAACGTCAGGCAGCAATGACTTAGGCAACGAACTTGCATGCCAGCCAGCGCATGCGCATTAAGAGCACACAACAATAAAATAAAAACAGAAAAAAAAGGTGCATAAAAATGCGACAAGATATCTACAGAAACAGAAACATTTCGATGCAAAACAAACGAACGACGAAAATTAAATTGAAAACGAGCCACAAAAAACGATGCTCGCCATAAAAATAAGCCAAAGAAAACAGCCAGAGAATAAAGATAAGCGAAAAGTGGCAGCGAGAAGCGGCCCAAAGTGTTGCACAGCGATAAAAATTTAATCAAAATTTATGAAGAGGCAACGCACCAGATCGGGCCGCCTGTTGGGCCATATAACACACAATTTACTAACACTAACTTTTCTCAATCTGTTTGCAGTCCCCGGAACTGGATTATCGGCACGAGCTGATGGGACGTCTGCACAAGATCGAGCCGGCCGACGTGGAACTGGAAGTGCTCGCTGCTGCTGCTGCTGCCTCCAACAACAACAACAACACGAATAGTAACAACAACAACAACAGCAGCAACGGCAACGGCAGCCAAACGCCCAGCAGCAACAACTCGGCGGCATCTTCGCATCATCATCACCATCATCAGTTCCATCACCACCACCTGCATTCGCACCACCATTCACATGCACACCACCACCAACATCATCATCAGCATTTGCACCACAGTCTGCAGAGCGGCGAGAGTGGTGCCGCCTTGGATGCCTGGCAGCTGGCTGCCTCCAGCTATGCCAGCGACCAGTCCCAGCAGCAGCAGCAGCATCAGCAGCAGCAACAACAACCCGCCGGCTCGCCCAATTCCAACTCAAATTCCGCCTATGGATGTGCGCCGCTCTACGACGAAGCGCCCTACGAAGTGGCACTGGGCTATGGAGCGGGTGCCGGCAACGGGGCGGGGGGCACGGCAACGGGCAGCGAGAAGGAGTATTTGTATGGTAAGTAGCTGGGCGAGTGGCAGAAGGGGGAGAGGGAGGTAAGCTGGGCACACAAAATTACACGCATGAGGAGAAATCTCGCAAGTCAATAGCAAAACGAGACGCGACAACTCGTGTTCGCCTTTTCGTAGTTTCGTATTATTTTCGTTTGTAGTTTTTTTGATTCATAGTTGCGTTTGCAAGCCAAATGTGAAACTTGAGACCTTACAGAAGAGCCTAAAACCCAAACACAGAGAGAAGCTTAAAACTAAGACGAACTCAAAATGCGCTTCAGACGTAGATTGGGCAAACTTACGAATTGAAAACCAAGAATGAAACTGAAACCTTTTGACTTTAGGAGACGTCAGAGAAAAAGTTAGTGTATACAAGTGAGAGTTTAGCGAAAAGTCTCGGCTTTATTTATAGTTAAAAATATCGAAACGGTTGTTTATAAATTTCATGCATATGTGAGATTTCTTTGTTTGCATTAATAATTCCCTGTTTGAGCGATGTCTATATATTGATTTGCATAAGGCATTAGCAGCTTGATTATAAAGCGATTTTCTTTACCCTCCCAACACCAACACACGCACACACACACACATAGAAACCAAAAACAAAGAGGCTCTCTTCGGCGACCCCCTGGACGATCCTTATCAAAGACCAGCTCTCTGGGATGATATTGCCACCTCAATACAGAACATCGATCCGGAGAATGCACTCATGCTGAGCGCCAGCACAGTGGCCAATGGCAGCGACAATGCGGCAGCGAATCAGGCGACACAGCAGCAACAGTTGCTGCCACAGGTCAAAATGGAAGCAATAGATGAAACACTGCTCGAAACTTTCTCGACACCAATGCTCAGTCCCATGGAGATTAAAACTGAAAAGCAGCAGCGACAACAGCAGCAGCAGCAACAACAGCAGCAGCAGCAACAACAGCAGCAGCAGCAGCAGCAATATCATCAGCAACAACAGCAGCAGCAACACTATCAGCAACATTATCAGCAACAGCAGCAACACTTGTACCAGCATCATCCTAGCCTCTCGCTGTCTGGGTTGCCACCCGCTGCTGAGGTTGTCGAGTTGCAGCTACAGCAGCAGCAGCAGCAGCAGCAACATCAGCAGCATCTCCACAGCGGCAGCAACAGTCCCAAGCAGGCAGCCGGCGACATCAACAACAGCAGCAACAACAACAACAACAACTCTGCCTCCTATCAGCAACAATACGCATCTCAGCTGAACAGCGCATCAGGCGCTGGATATCTAAACAGTAGCAGCAACAACAGCAGTGCATCTGGGGGCACCACCAGCAGCGTCGTCACCAGCAGCACCGGCAGCAGCAGCAGCAGCAGCTATGGCTACAGCTGGCACCACAGCAGTCAGGTGAGAATCTCCGCAATTGTTGTTGCTTGAAGACTTTCTATTTCTGGTTCCCTTTGCTGCTCTAGAGCTTTCACACCAAATACCAAATACACCCGCCATCAGCAGTTGCCACTGCGACACCAACCACTGCCACACCCACAGCTCAACACGTGCTGCAGCAGCAACAGCATCAGCAACAACAACAACTGCAGCTATGCCCGCCAGCCGCGCCTAGCACACCGTCCGCCACATCCGCCTCCTCCTCGGGCAGCGCCTCCTCGACGGGCTCCAACTCGACGCGTCACATGTTCGTGCCACCGCTGACACCGCCCAGCTCAGATCCCGGCAGTCCCGGCGCCTCCATGGTCGCCGCAGCCGCTGCCGTTGCCCAGGCACAGCGGCGCTCCACGCCACCGCCGCCCTATCAGCAGGGCCATGGCCTAGCTGGCCTCTGTCCTAGCCTGGTTAATCCGCCGCCCACGCTGCAGCTGCTGGGTGCCGGCACGCCCACCACGCTGACGACACTCACGCCCGCCAATGCAGCCAGCGCAGTTGGAGCAGTCCAGCAGCCGGCGCCGCCGCCACCTCCGCCGCCGCCGAGCAGCGGGCGACGCGGCCGACATGCGCACCATCAGCCAGGAACGCCGGCGCATATCGCCAGCCTGATGAGCGTGCGTACCGTGCGCTACAATCGGCGCAACAATCCGGAGCTGGAGAAGCGTCGCATCCATCACTGTGATTTTGTGGGTGAGTGCAATCCGTAGATTCATCTGCCGCCTGCTGTTTTTTTAGGAGCTTTTTCTTTCTGCTTGGGATGCGTTGCATGTGCGACTCGTTTATCATTTCGCGCGCTTTGCGACACTTTTTGTAATAGAGACCAACTCCCCCCAAACCCTCAACCCTCCCCCTTACTTGTACTTACATACCTGTTACATATTCAGCTATTTGGCTGGGATCTTGTCCACTGGCTCATTGCGCATGCGTGAGGCGTACTTCCAATCGCCATTTATTTATTCTCCATTTATCTAAGCATTTATTTATTTATTATCTTTCCGTCTGTCGCCCGCTGTGCCTATTGACAGTTGTTGTGGCGCTTTTTCAAATGCCTCTTTTGTAATTCCAATTAGCCAATGCCATATTTATGTAAGAGTCTCTCCTCTCATTGTTATCACTGAGATACGTTCGACACAGTTCCAATGTCAACCCGACGATCTTGTAGCAGTTAGCTGGAAGACAAAGATTATATATGAATAGGGGTCGTACGGAATTGAGGAGCATTTAGAATGAAATTAAAATTGTTGCTTATAAAGAAAACTCCTATTTATTGCTATTAAGTTTAGTCTAATATAAGTAAATCAAAAGTCGAAGATCAATTCAAGATCGGAAAGAGGTAATGTAGATCAGCCAAAAATATATTGTACATTATCTTGTACCATACGAAAAAGGGCCTGAAGATAGAGTTGAATGGAACATTTAATATTTGAAGATCAATTAAAGATCATGCAAAGACTTTTGTTTATCAATTGAAGATCAGCCGAAAAATACACAGCACTGAATCGGCGTTCAATCAACTGTTGAATCGAATCGAAAACCTTATACACAATTCGGCGTTCAGTCCATTAGCTGCTAACGGGGCGATCATTGAGAGGGAAGCGAAAAGCACTTAACCCCAACTAAATGCGACGTTGTCTAGCCAACTGATGGTCCGTCGTTGGAGTCGTTGGCGTCGTTGGCTACGTGCGTTGCCACTAATAAATAATTGACAATTGTCTGACACGTTTGCCGTGGCCATTTTTAGACAAAAAGCGCGTTCGAGCACAAATATTACGAGTCCGATTGCGCTTGGCCAAAACTCTTGAGCGCAGGCGCACAAAAATGCTGTCCAAATGAAGTTATTATGCCATAAACGCACGCATCAGACTCTCCGACACAGCACTGTGGGCCAAGTCTACACGTTTCACGTCCACATTGCAGCTCTATGGACTATGCCACTTGCAACTTGCGACTTGCAACTCGAGATTGCAACTGCCACGCAAGTGAGTTATGTCTCAGAAGTTCGCTCTGGCGCGGGGCATGTGATCGGCAATCCTCGTAACTTTGCAGTCCCAGCCAATCACGCGTCTAACTGTCATCATTGTTGTTGTTGTTTCTGTTGCTGTTGTTGCTGCTGCTGTTGTCTGGCGTCGACGCAACATTCTTGACTCGCTTTTTAGCTATCAATTCGCTTTGGCCATGTTTGTCTACGGTGGCTTACTTGTGCCTTGGTGGTGGTTCGAGTATTTTTAGCTGAGTTTTGGCATTGTCTTTTTCTATATGCGCGTCACGTTGTACTCAGCTTTCAATTAGAGCGGACGTGCTGAGATCTCTAAGCATCCTTTTAAGTGCCACATAAATGTCTCATGCTGTGCACAAGTGAATCTTGTGCAACTTTCACCAGCTCCAGCTTCAGCTACAGTCCCAGCTCCAACTACAGCTGCACGGCCTTAATTAAAGGCTCGATTGTAGCGACGCCCACTGACCCACTGCAGAGGCACAGCCTCAGCCTCAGCCACAACCACTGCCACAGCCAGCTGCACTTTGCAATGTGGCTCTTTTCTCATAGGCAGCTTATCAAGATTTTTGTCTGTGCTGCCACAGTGCGGGCTCTGCACTGTGCTCTCAGATAAATTGCCCATTCAATTTGGCACTCTGACAACGAGATTCGACTTGGTATCACATATGAAGCGCTTAAAATTGTTAACAACTTTTAAGGCCGTAGTAAATTTAACGGCTAACATCAGTGTTGAACCTATACACAAGTTGCTTGTTGAAGGTTTAATTTAAACAGCAATTCAAGTTATGGTTTAGGTTAACTAGCGGCTACAGTTAAGGCTTAATGGATATTCTAAATTTTTTTCAAATTATATTATTATTTTTTTTGCAGCACCGTTTCACGATTTTTGATTTTTGAAGAATCATTCAAGAATTCAATTAATAATAGAATAATATACAATATATTCGCGCCCTGTCTCTTGAATCTAAACCATTCATTTCCTTATGGTACCTCTCAATTCTTAGCTATACATTCGCTGCCTTCCTTTCTTCCGCTTTAACAACTAACAGCCCAATTTCTTTTCTTTTTCCCATTTGCAGGTTGTTCCAAGGTCTATACGAAGAGCTCGCATTTGAAGGCGCATCAAAGGATACACACGGGTAAGTCGTTAATGTTATTGATAGTCAGAGGCTGCAGCACAGATCCACCCACCACCCAGGCAACAAGCACTTGGTATTAGTTATAAGGCGCCGCTAGGCTTGTCCGCTGTCACACACATTTGTTGCCGGCCCGATCCTGCCCCGCATCCGATGTAGGCGTAGAAGGTTTGGCTTATTACCACACCACCAGCAGCTCCGCCATGTCTGACGATGAGCTGGTGGTGCACAGCTGCGCTGCTTTATTTTGTAGCGTTGAGCAACCGAACGTACGGCGGAAAAAGGCTTTTGATTAATTCGCGCGCTCATATTTGTAGTTGCCAGCACATAATTTGCCAAGAGCTCGGAGCGCCTTTTGGCTGATTTTTTTTTTTTGGTTTTTTGTTTTTCAATTTCGGCGCAGCACATAGCGCAACAAAACCACAGAAATCGTGATTTCTACGTTTTGTTTTTGTTGCTGTTTTTGTTGTGCGGCTTTTTGTGGTCAGTTGCAACATCAACAACATCAACAATCGCCAATCGCCAACGCCATCAGCTGGGCGCACGTTTGGCCTGCATTTCCTTCTTGCTCAGATTACACTTGACGTTATTTTTTGGTTTGTCCGCCAGTCGGTCGGGCTTTACCATTTTTTTTTTGGTTTTTTTGGTGGGTCGTTGGATGTTGATCACCTGTCTTCGTTTTATGGGCCACACGTTTTATGCCCCTCTGATTCGCGACTCACAACAACTGGCGACTTGCGACTTTCAACTCTCGACTCTCGACCCAGCCCCAAAAGCAGCGAGACTCAATCCCGAGCGCAGTTCTCCTTCAGTGTTTTATTAATCGCACATGACCAGCTGATTTATGCGCAAACTTAAAACGCTGCACTTAAAAAACATTTTTATTATTATGATTTTGCGCTGCGCTGATTTTCACTTAACTGATAAACTCGACGCTTCGCTAAGAAAAAAACGACACATTTGATAAGCCCCGACGACAAGTGCTCGAGTCAAGGTGACGCTATAAATGCCCTGTAAAAGGTCTTTCTACGATTTTATAGTTGAAAATATTCAAAGTCCCATATAAATGACAGCAATATCAGTTGCTGAAGCATTGCATAAGATATAAATATGAGTAACATACAAATTGATCCACTGACCTCATGTTTTTGAATCTGACGCTCAAACACACGTAAGGCTGTATTGATTTTACACAACCTTTGTCCTCAGTTTTTGCCCATGTATTATATACCTGAGCTTAATCTAGTAAGTTCCTTCTATACTCTCCCTCCTTCCCGATGACCCGTTTAATAGAAATCGAACCTTTAGCTAACAAGCAGATATATCAAGCAGAGGTTGTTTTCTCATCCGATCAATTAATCATATTCTGATATATTGTAGCTAACAATTCCCATTCTCATGCTTTCTCGCTCACTCTCTCAAAGACTTTCTCCAGCTGTTAACCCTTTTGCTGCACTTGCTACAGGCCAGTCAATGTAAGCTTGAGCTCTGGTTAGCTGATTTAATTGCCTTACACCCGCCGTGGGCCAACACGAATGCCAGGCAAATCTGTGACCACGTCTTTGTGGATTTGGCTCAAATTTTGCAGTAGATTTCGAGTGGCAGCAGCCATTTGTGGCTACCGTCTGATGCCTGTCCTGTTTGTTTGGCTTTTGACTTAGTTAACGTCGTCGTCACACGCCCAGCCTAGGAGGCAGCAAAACCACATACACACACAATTTTCATGCAATTTTGAAGCTGCGGCATCTCGTGGCGCCAGACACCAGCTGAGTGTTGTCTTTGCTGATTAGCGGCGCTGCAGCTCAAGTGCCGGGCCGGACACTTGGGACAGCATTTAGTTTACATGCACTCAAAAAAATATCAATCGCCATTAATGAAAAAATTCCTAACATCAGAAAATTTATGTTTTTAACAATTTTCTAAGAAATATAATTATTTATATTATATTTATTACTTCCTTTTTTCTGATACTGATTCTCAATTTTCTAATGATTGTTGAAATTCTTATATGACGAATCGCCCTAGGCCCCTTCTCATAGGCGAATTCTAGAATCTGAGACGTTTCTTTAAGTGAACCTATTCGCTGCGGCTTCCTATGCTTCGGCAGGGCAAGTTCGTTTCCTAAGTCTTTTGTTTTTTTTTTGCTTGCTGCGTTCGCTGCTCGTAAATTTGTGGTTTTTATTTGGGCTTTTTGTATTTATCTGGACGCAGCGATTAGAAAATCACTCGGTAACTAATCTTTATGCAGCAAGCGAACGCATAAATTAAACATATCGCTGCCTCAGTCCCTAGGTGTCTGCACTGGAACTGGAACTGAAGCTGGAAGACAGGCACTTGGAACGCAGTTTGCCCACCGGCTGGGCTTATTTTGTACTGATTTGTTTGCTAATATGTTCGCGTTGCCATAAATTAGTTTGATTTTTATGCCCGACGACTGGAGGAGGTCTCCGGCCTGGCCTGGCCTGGACTGTGTGGCCTGCGGCTAGACTTGTCTTCTAGCTTGTTTTGGGGGCAGCCGTTGCCTTAATTTATATACGAGTCCGAGTGTGTCTGCATATTGTTAGTTGCATGTTGAGCTTATCGCGGCATACTATGTTAAAATTATGAAGTAATTTCGTCGGCCTTATCGCATTGCGTTCATCGCACATTACAAAACAACATTTACATAACTTTGTTTGTTGTTTACCCGGGCGCTCGGATCGGATCGGGCCGGCCCCGGTCCAACCCCCGGACTGCGGGTTCGATGCTGATCTTTGTTTTAGTTACGAGCGATTTCAATTTTGCCATTGCCAAATGATATTCCCACGAGTGCGCTGTGGTTGTTGTTGTAGTTTCTGTGGCCGTTGCTGTTGCTGTTGTTGTTGGTATTGATATTGTTTTTGTTTACGAGATTCTGTTTGGGCAGTTTCTGTACCATGACTCACCATCGACAACAGCGGGCTACAATGCCCAGCCATTTATCAATGTTTTTTTTGCCTCAAACAAAGCTTCTTACACGCTCACACACACACGCGGCACGCATGTGTGCGTGCAAGTGTCGATAGGTAAATTTTTTTTCAATTATGTTCAGTCATCTCGAAGCACTTAAATTCATTAAAAGAGATCTAAATAAACCAATAAGTCACGCCACGAGTCGCTCGTATTGGGTTTCTATTCGTAAATCCTACAAAAGTGTCAGCTGAGTGCCACTTCAGACCTCAACTTGAGCCAAACAACTCTCTCCCCGTCCTCCTCCCCAGCCTTAAGAGGCATTTCAAACTAAATATCCGCTGTAAAAAACAACGGCAATAATTATTATGCCTATTGCTGCTTGAAATAATGCTGTGAAAAGGGTTTCGGTGCTCAAATGAGCTTAGAAGTGCGAGTTATTTGAGCAAAGTGTGAAGATGTGGTAATCTTTTTTGCAAGGTAACATTTATAGATAATTTACTTTAAAGAATTTCCTATAAGACTTAATAAAAAAATCCGAAAACATATTTTGTGAATTGTCTATAAGACAGCATACATTAATATTTGATATTCCTTTTCTCAAACAATTGAGAAATAGTGCAAAAAATTAAGTATTTCCACAATCCACAACCAATTGGATTATGTGAACAATGTCAATCCAATTGGGAAACCTATTCGATACAGTCCACAGAATCCCATTGGCCGAGTCGAGTCGAGTCAGTCGCTGGCGAAGACAATGCCTGAATAATGCCATAAAATGTCAAGTTCACCAAATTTAAAGCACCGCAATAATTATTTCATTCAATTTCAATTTGAACACGAATGTTTATGTTTATGTTTATGTTTATGCTCTGGCATACGTGCTCTAATACTCGAAGCACGCTGTTAGCCAAGGCGACCCAAACAGCAACAGCAACAACATCAACAACACAGCCGGCAGTCGACCCGGTTCCAGCTGGAGGGAATTAGTCATAGAGCAGCGGGCAAAACTTTTGGGCACCGGCCGGTCGCATTTTTGTTGCTACCTCGACATGAGCTGAGCAAAAGTCACTTGCAAATGTCGTCGTGTTGTCTCTTGTTGTTGCAGCAGTTGTTGCTGCTGCTGCTGCTGCTGGTAATGGGCCATCGTCAGCGGCAAGTCGTGTGCCACAGCAAGCAAAATCCAAATCATAAAATACGCGACTGAGAGTGACTCGAACTGCGAATTGACTTACCATTTGCTTCAGCTGCCGTTTTGTTGTCGTCGTCGTCGTCGTGTTGTTGTTCTCCTGTTGCCGCAAACTAACATGAAAATTCGATGAAAATGTTAATTTGTGAATACATGCGGCAGCCGCAGAGTTGTACACACTCGCAAGACAAGAAGCTCTTTGATGACATGCACTTCAGCCGAATAATATATATGAATTTGTCGTTTAACAAATTTTCCAATAACTTTTAATTTGTCAAATCCAATTCATGGCATGCCTTTGTTTTTGCTCTTATTTTTGATTCCAGGTGAAAAGCCCTACACCTGCCAGTGGCCGGAATGCGAATGGCGTTTCGCTCGCTCCGATGAACTGACGCGACATTATCGCAAACACACCGGCGCCAAGCCCTTCAAGTGCATCGTCTGCGAGCGAAGCTTTGCGAGAAGCGATCACTTGGCACTCCATATGAAGCGCCACTTGCCGAAGAATAAGTGAGGCCGTCGTGTCGGGCGGAGCGGCTACCAATCAACTATATCACAATCCAAAGGACTTTAGTTAAGCTAAAAAGATAAAAAAATTCGTTTAGTAAATGGTTACTATTAAATATTAATATTAAACCTGATTACTAATTAGTTTAATACAAAAAAATCACATACACAAGAGCTTTTCACAATCGAAATTCAGAGAGCGGACGGAGTCGGAGCAGATCTCTCTCCTGCTGTCCCTCTCTCTCAACTCAAGCGTTAAATTAAGTAAATGAAATTTCCACCTGCTTAACTACATATTAATGCAAATTTTAAACTAAGCACACTCCTAACTAATCATAACTCTCGTTTAGCTTACACATTCACAACAATATTTAGTTCGTACTGTTCCCAGAGAATTCTCTCGTTTCTCTCAACACTCTCACAGTTGCGAGCGCATGCTGAGAGACCCGTGTATTAAAGTGCATATAGTACATATATATCTATATAGATAAATATATATATACATTCATATAGATCCTTGTATACTTAAACTAAATCAATGCCAAGTTGTATCGCCACGTGTCATTGTCGCCTAGTTTCTGTATAGTTTCCCTTAGCCATAATATTATGTTAGTCTGTAATTTGATGCGTACGACTATATATGTACATATATCTGTCCTGTATGTATATGGTAGCTAGTGTATTATGTATATGTAAACTTATCGTGTCTCTACATCGTTTCTAAACACCAAAAAGTGCTGGCACAAAATCATCAAATAATAAAATGTTTTTGAAAAACCACAGTTCTGTTTATTCAAACAAAAAATCATCCATTCAAATAATGGGTTTGATGTCTTCCGGCATGGCAAAGCGATCGGTCCAGTCGCGGACTATGCTGTCGTGCTCAGCGCGATGCTCCATATATAGCTTAGCAATTGCCGGATTCAGCGGATCCTGTAGATTGGGTGACACCAGCAGCGCAAGCACCGACACCAGCAGCTTGCCCACGGTTAAGACCGGAGACCACTTTTCCACACAGATCTGATCGGCATGCACGTTGCAGTGATAGATTTTGGTTAGGAACCTTAGGTTCGGCGGAGTAAAAGGATAGTCACGCGGGAAGGTGACGTGTATGTGAAAGAGCCCGCCCTCATAGGGTGTGCCCTGGGGCCCTTCAAGCGCGGCAATCCACTCGAATAAATTGCTATTCAACATATCCACTTTGCAACCAGCCAATGGATTGCGCTTGATCTCTGCCAGCTCACGACCCAAACGGCGTTCGGTCATCCCGCTGCGCAGCAGCTTGCTATAGATGCGACGACGCCGTGCCTGGACTTCAGGCTCCTCGGACTCTGGTGCCCCATCGAAAGTTGCTGCCTAATCAGGCGGTGGCTGGCGTCTGCGCAGGCGCTCGCTACGACGCACTGGAAACATCTTATATTGACTACCGTATAACCAATAAATCCCCTTACATACACAAAAAATAAATAAACAAAATTCTAGTATAATCAACTAACAAATACCTCGACACAGCTTTCGAACGCGTGCGTCTCCCTTAAACGTTGCTGATTGTATGAAAAGCGGCTGTGAGATTTAAGCCTTGACAGCCGTCAATTTCAAGGTTACCATTTTACAAAAAAAACAAAAACATTCGATTATTAAATTAGTATTAAGTGTTGGCGTGATGAAATTAGTTTTCTGTTATCGAAAATGCAATGGCACTTCCATCGATAGTTCCTTAGTGCTGTTAAACTGCCTAGAGTATTTGCATGCGTTTTCGATTGAAAGTAGAAGCACAAACGTTAAGTGGAAACTAACAAAAAATAACAAGATATGAAAATATCAAATCCTGAAGAGTTTACAAAGTGAAACCACAAGCAAAATCTTGATAGATATGTTCAAGAACATAATTGTTGGTATATATATTAACTCTAGATCTCTCATTTTTATCTCTTAATCTCTTTTTGCCACAAAGTTTTTGGTCTCTTCTCGAGAATCATCAGAGAGGCACACAGAGTTAGCTGTGGAGTTTCATATCTTCAAAAGCCAACATAAAACCAACGTAAGCCTGGCTGTTGATGAGCATGTTGATTATATTCTAAATAATATCGACTACATGTATGTGGAGAAAGCTCGGTGGCATAGTAGTCGAATTCCTAAAACCGATTCAGATTTTATTTAAATTTCTTTAAGGAAAATACTAATCAGTTTGAGGAACACCTCAATAATGTAAGCAGTATCATAAGTGTCAAGGCTAGAGTACCGTGGAATTTGACCCTTTGTACCCAAATTGCTAAAGTCGATTCAATCAGCAATTCATTGCCAGTGTTGGACACGTGCAATGAAATTCCTGCATTCGATATTTACTGCAATCGTATGCACTTCATATACGATTATTAACATTTCCCAATTACGTGCCTGGCAAGGCAAATGTTCACTTTTGAAAATTTCTCTGGCAATTGTCAAATGATTTCCACAATTTGGCAGCAGTTTTTGTTGGTAGAGGGAGGGCATTCTTTAAGAAAACTCCACACGCCAGTTAACGGTTAGGTTATTAAATAATAAAAAGTACATGCGCATATGACTTTGTTGGAGAGACCCACAAAATTTATGAACCACAAATAACTAAGAGACAATAATTTCATTTAGATGAGAATGCAAAGCCGATAAGTGTGACCCCATGTCGTAGACCCGCGACTCAATTGAGTTTTGTTGTTATTCCTGCAACGATCATTATCAAAATATTTTGTACACGAAACAAACATGTCAAGCAAATGTGAGACGTTTCTTGTTGTTGTTGTTGTTGTTGTTGCTGCTGCTTGAAAATTGTTCAGAAATAAAAATAATAATTTCAATTGTTGGCTGCATTCGATTTTTTCTATTTATTTTCTTCGCTTGTTTTCGACGCGTCATGTTGTTTTGATTGCGGCGATAAAATTGTTGTCGTTGTGCGCCCATTTGAAATTATAAATCGTTTGATTTTTATGAGGCTCATTTATTTATGAGCTTGGCGTACGGAGAACCCGGAGGAAACTAAAAGAAAACCAGTTCATTTGTCAAGTCTAAGACACGTGTTGGGCAACTTATTTAGCTGCGTTGAATTTAAACCTGGCCTGCGACTAAACGCGTGCCTCGAGATGGTCCAGTAATTGCCATATAGATCGTGCTTTAAAGAAAAGCCCTTGGATTCCGCTCGCCAGACAAACAGAGCCCCCACTCAACGCTTGCCACATGACTTTGCCTGGCATCCATCAACAAAACTCTCTTCAGTTCAAGCTCCCTACGTGGGCGTTGAGTACAGACCATCGTTCTCTCTCCCTCTGTCTGGTATATGTGTATATCTATCCCTGTCAAAAGTATCTTCAATTGTTGTGCGCTGCGCTGATTAATCATGTTACCACTGACAGCTCAACTTTGCGGGCAAGCTGCTTATTAAATTGGCTTAAGATTGCTAGATAAACGTAATAAAAAACGCACAGCAACAGCCAGAGCCACAGCCAGAGACAGAGATACAGATACAGATACATCAACAGACACATGCAGAGTACGTGTAGGTATGAGGACCCCACAAATTGATAAATGCACAAATCGCAGTCGCAGTCGCTGTCGCTGTCGCCGTCAAAGGTTTTCTCAGTGCACCCACTTGAAAGTCGAGTCGGAACAAAAGCGAATTTCATATGAAATTGATGCGATTTCAGTCAGATCGCGTGTGCCTGCCCCCCGCCGGACTGATATTGCTTATTATTTCAATTAATTTGTGCGCCTTTTGTTCTGCTTATTTAAGAGGCGAATCATTAAAAAACACAAAGCCAAATTGTGCATACAAATATTTACATTTAATTCAATCCCCGTGTGGGTGTATAATTATGCGGATCTGGTAAATATGTCAGTGGAACGCTTTATATAGTATACTATACGATTATATAGGAGGACAATTAATGCGAATGCGTACTACAATTTATCTAGACTTCAGTCATTTTCCATTGATTGATTATTTTATTTTTTTTAAGTAAAAACTAAAAGAAACAATATAAATCGATTTGAACCGGCGACTCGTCTTGTTAGTTCGACGCAATCCACAATGAGAAAGTCTAAGATGAAAACATTTCTAATGAGATTTTCTACAAAGTTCATCTTGATCTCTTGAAGTCGACTAGTGTTGATTGACTTCTTCCATATCTTATTATTTTCATATATCTGTTACTTCATATTCTCCTATGGACCTCGGTATCATCTAGCTGCACAATATTGCTGTTCTCGGACATACCCTATCTACATAATTCATACATGAATGAATTCGTTCCCCTTGCCTGAATGACTTCATTAAAACTCGTTGCCCGTTTCAAATCCGTTTCGAATTGCGCTTCGGTTATTAAAACATGCGAGGCGAATGAGCGTATTGCTGGGTGACAGCTCAAATGCAAATATAGAACATAACGTTGAATAAAGCCTGATGCTTCTAGATATTCTTGTGATTCGGTCTTTGAGTTGGGAATTTCACTCTTTGGCCAACTTCTTAAGCTTCCGCAACAACTTTTACTTTCAGGCAGGCATGCGGGCGTCCGGGTGGATAGGCCGGCAGGCAGCGTCCAGCTGTGGCACAAGAGACACCCACAACAACCGCTCGCGTGGTTAACCCACACACACATGCCACAAACGAGCGGGTTCATCCATTTTAAGCCAGCTGAAACTTACAAAAGCGCCCATTAGCAAATGGGGGGACGCACTCGTGTCGTGTTTCGGTCGTGTCGTATCGTGTGTTGTTGCCCCGTGTCCGTCTGTGTGTTTGTTGCCTGTCAGACTGACAGAGGGGCGCAGCCGCAGGCACTACAACCGAAAACCGAAAACCAAAAACCGTAAACAGGAACTCCTCTCGCCAAAATGCTAACTGGCCCATGGTTGCCAGACGGGCGACAGACAAGACAAGACAAGACGAGGCGGGGCAAGGCGACGCGTGTTGCAGCAACTACTTTGCATACACGTTGCACATAAACAACGCTGACTAAAAACGGCGACAACTATAATTAAGCTTAATTGCTGTTTAATGTGAGCCACACAGACAGAGTCAGAGAGTCGGCTCGGAGCCGGAGTCGGATGCGGAATTGGAGTTGGAGCTGGAGCTGGAGTTGGCAACCAGGACCGATAGTTTTTAGCATTTGTCAAGCGCCCACGCATTGACAGTGACTGCTAAACATATCACACACACACACATTTAAGCTTTAATTTAATTATATCTGTAATATGAGAAATGTGCATACATTAAACTGGAGTGAAACCAGGTGTTTGTATAATTGAAAAAGTTGCCTATCTGTTGGCATTATTGTTTTTGGTGTGTGTCGGGGAAATTAATTAGCAATTAAAAATGCAGCCCCGGCAATGGCAATACGTAGCTCTAATCTGTTGTAGAAACACTCGTAATTCATATTTATAAATAGGCAAACATTATTCAAGGTGTCCGCGCTGACTCGAGAACCGTAAATTAAATCAAAATCAAAATGAAAACGATATGGTTAGAATTTATAACGAAAAAAGGTAAAGAATAAATAAATAAGAAAAAAAAGTAAGCAAAAGCCAAACACACAAAAGCCGAAGTTTCAATGCACTATAGTACAGTGTGCCAAGAAATTGTTTTGACAAAGTGAAAAGATTAATATGCAAATTAAACTAAATCTTTTGAGTCTTATTATAATATATCTATATATTTTATATCGGCTTATTATCTTTCTTGGAACCTATTAAGGAATATATGTACCTTATATCGAGATCCATATATCCAGAAAATAAAAATCCATTAATAAAAGAAAAAACTTCCCCAAAAAGATAAAGATAATATGTATGTATCTGAGAACTGCAGTGAAGGGCACTACCTGCCTTAGTCTAGAGACTCGTGGTGAGGGTATGAGAACAAAAAAAACCCATTTGATCCGTGGCCGCCCACAAATTGAACGTCGAACCGTGCTCAGGCCCCGACAGACAAGAGCCCCGTCAATTGGAGGTTGGGGTTGCTGCAACTTGCAACTCGGCAGTTGGTGGCCGGCGTGTGACTCAAACCCAGCTGCAGACCGGAGTTGATCGACCGATCAGTCGATTGGCGACCCAGTGGCGACGACTGCCGCTGCATTTGGCAATGAACTTTTCGATATCGAAATATGCATGGGCTAAACAAAAAGGCAGATACAGATAAATAAATCGAGCGTGGCGCTGCCAATTTGACTTTGAACTCGGTCAAGTCGAGACACATTTGAAGCTGTTTGCATATTTAATTGAACACCTACAACAACTGCTTGCTATTTGCTTGCAACAACAAGAGCGACAACAAATGGTCTGCAGCTGTGTTGGCATAATAATAAGCATTATAATCAGGCGCAAAAGGCTCAATAGGCCAATTGGCTGCCGGCCAACTAAGTGTACAGTTACTTTGTCAAAGCGTTAAGTCGTGCCTGACAAAATAATGACCATTTGTGCATAAACTTATGGCCTTTCAGCCAAATCTCATTAAAACCAATGCCCCAAGACAAACAACTCAACAAAAGGCTCTGCTAGAAGACAGCCCAAACGGAACAAACCAAGAATATTTTCAAATATTCAAATAAATCTTAGTCATAACTCACTCAGAATTAAGTTCCAATTTTAAGTTTTCTCTGCATACATAAATTAATAATAATATGCATTTAAGTTTAACAATTTTAGAACGTTTTAAAATATTCGAGCACAAATGCATTGATGTAATAGAAAATTCTGACAAGCTAGTGAGCAGCGCCAACTCTGGTTGACTTTGCTTAATTCCTTTTAAATATACGCTTTTATTATAATCTCTGTAATAATATTATCAAGCTATCGATAAGTTTGACCAGAGATGATAGTAATTATTAGGCAGTTTTTTCCAGTCAAGGGCCAAACATTTCTTACGATATTTATATTGAAGCCCATCAAAATATTGCCAGCCACTGGAAAAGTCCTTGGCAATAAAATGCAGTTCTTGGTAATAAATAGCTAATCGCTTGCATTGTTTTCCGAAGGAAGTTTTTAATAATCTATGAGTTCTGTATGTCTAGCCTCGGCTGGCTCTACTTGCTGAGCAATTTGGATTGTCCTCTCCCAGAAGACAAGAGGAGAGCTAAGAAATGATTTGTGACTTTTATCAGCCATCATCTGATAACATTGTTTTCTCTAAAAATCAAGCGATTTAGAACGTGACATCGAAATGAACATTATCGACAAAATCGATTTATTGATGTTTCGATAGGTTTTCATTCAACAATTGTTTCAACAATGCGTGCTGTAACGTTCGCAGCTCAATTGAAAAATATAAAAAGAAAAACAAAATGTTTTCAAAGCAAGCTCTGCCTTTCACTTTGCGAAGCCACAAAATCATTTCCCATTGAAACTTACGCAGGACGAGAATAAACGAAAAATTGCTTACGAAAAAAAACAGCTGTGAAAAGTAAGAATTGGCTCATTCAAAATAAAATGCAGCACAGACTCAATGCTTTAACCGATGCTTTACAGCTGTGATAATTATGCCGCCCAGACGCAGCGAGCGGCTGCGCAAGCTACGTGAGGTTGTGACATCGGCGGGGCCCGTGGTGGAGTCCAGGGGTGCGAGACGCCCCCGGCCACGCCCACGACGTGCTCGCGCCAGGGTGCCTGTGAGTGCAGCAGCAGCAGCAGCAGGAACAACCAGGACCAACATTGTGGCTGTGGCTGTGGTCGAGCAGCGCCTGAACGAACGCGAGGATGCGCGCACCTGGTTGCAGTTGGAGGCGCAGTCTACAGCCAGGTCGGTCAGCATTAGCAATGGCAACGGGGAAGGCCAGGTGGACGATGTGTTGACACTGCGCCTGTTGTCGCTGTTCATACGCATCGCACTGCTAGAGTCGCCATCGCTGGCCCAGCTGACCCGCCGTAATCCCCATCAGGGAATTAGAAAGCTGTTTAGAATCATACGGTTTCTGTTTTTTAGACGCTAAACATTTTGTTCAATAAATCGATAGCATCGTTCGCCGGACAGGCGCCCCCACATGATCATGGCATGATTTCCTATCCCGAGTTCTTGGATTACCTATGCTCCTATGCTCCTCATCTGTCTCGCAGGGACTGTCATTTGGGCCGCGTTGCGCCTCCGCATGATTAATTGCCTGGCACGCGTTGGCGATGCCAATCGGCTGCCCAAGTGACAAAAATCAATGCACCGCAAATGTGCGAGACTGTGACTGCAAGTGGCACTCGGCAGCCGGCAGTCGGCAGTCAGAGGTTGCAGCGACGTGTGAGTTACTCGGAATAACACGGCTCATAAATCTTCAGGGCCCAAATCTCGAGATCTGCCGCCCGCCCTTCTACTGTATGTCATTTGGCAACCTGTGCCCACGCAGGCGGCTCTGGCGGCTTATCAGCTGCCAACTATCGCCAGACCAGACAATTCTTCTTCGGAATGTAATGTGTAATGAAACGGAAGTTGCCCGACTATCAATCTCAATTAAAATGATTGCCACCGAATGCAGCAACAATATACCCTTAAACATGTATGTATGCGATGCCACAAACGAAGGCAGAATCTTAACAAGCATGGAGTATATCTCAGTGTGTGACTTAGGATACAATTCTTATGAAGTAGGTGGGTTAATTTGGTTTATAATACCAAATTAAATTTGATTAAGGCAATTTTTATGAACTTCTGTCCTTTGCTTGCAACTTAAACTTATATTAAATGTTTAGAATATAAATATAATTTAATATTTAGTATGTTCGTTTTACGTATCACGACCTATGTTCAGGGCTTAACACGTATCTCATATATATGTAAAAATATATAAATATGTATATATGCACTCACCCAAACATACACATGTTCTTATTGTCATCTCGCAATGCAAGGAAGGGACTCTTATATCAACATCCCTAGAATAAAATAGAGAAACAGCATAAGAAAGGAGAAAAAAATCGGAATATAAAGAGAGAAAGAAGATAGGGCTCAAGAGAGCATAAACAAAGAAAATCGGGTTTTACTTCAATTTATAAGAATTTATGGAGCTCTAGATCAATTTGGCATCTAAATCTGGCAACATTATTCATACACATATATACATACACATAAATACATACATACATACATGTATGCTTAATATTTTTGATAGAAATCTTTAGTTGGCCCAAACCATCTTGAACTCCACTTCCAATTCCAACATTTGATTCTTTCTTCGATGGAATTTTTCAACCACGTAGTATATACATATATTTAGACTTAGTTTTGAATTCTTTAGTGGCTGACTTACATTACATTTTTTTAATAATCCTGTCTTTACAAGAAAAGGAACGAAGACAATTACGCAGACATTACAACATTATCCATAATTTTTTTGTTACATTTAAATCCTCAATTAAGGTTAATATCATGTTGAAAATAAGTGTAATACCGCCCTAGCATGTTACGATTTTCATATATTATTTGCAGTTTAAGCGGACATGGCCTAAGCATAAATTTGAGCCACAGCAGCAGCAATTTTTTTTTTTTTTGGTATAAAGCAAGTTGACAATCCAACAGTTAGTTGGCCAAATTGCGCACATCCGTTGGATTGGCAAAGGAGCCGCAATAATTTGCAGCAATATGGCTAAAATAAACGCGACGCGTCGTTGGTGTTGGCTGTTGGGTCTCCGCGACCTGGCTGAGAAGTGGCAATAAACAAAGCCAAGAGCACGCGTTATTTTGTGCACATTTCCATGCAAATGGTGGCGGCAAATCAGCGCAAATGAAAGAAGCAGCGACAACAACATGCAACCGCATGAGCAATTGCCAATTGCGTGTTGCACAATCATTGGGAGCAGAGTCACAGCCAGAGTCAGAGGCAAGCCAACTGGCGGCCTACACACCAGCCGAACAGAACCCAAGAACATGACATCAAATGGCAAACAAAGCGCAATTACATGGAGCGACAAGCCGAAATGCGAATGTGAAGTGTCGCATCGAAGCACTCGCATTCGCACTCGCAGCTGGAACACAAACTCAAACCTTAAACCGAGCTGCAACTGAGCTGCACATGGGCGAGCGAGCCACATTAAAAGCCCACAACAAAGCCGGGCTGACTCACATTGGCAAGAGATGCGTTGGACGTTGGACATGGCCTGGGCATTTGGTATTGGCATTGGTATCGGTATTAGTATCGGCATTGCCATCGAAGCTATATGACTGTTGCATGCCAGCTCGGAACTAAACGCTGCTAAACTCAAGAGCGAGACATTTATCACACCCGCTAATTAATGATAATGTCAGTAACGTATGTGGCTGGCCTCGTTGCAGTTGCCAGTTGCCAGTTGCCACAGTTCCACAGGTCATCAGTTAACGTTTTCATTAACCATATGTCACACGCATGTCCTGGAGGGCTGGCAACCCTCCTATGCGCAACCCTCGCGGCACGAGGAACCCTTGAAAATTAAATTATGCGCTCGGTCGCGTGTCCTCCTCGAGTTCACAGTCGGCAAATGATGAGTCAAAATACATAAAAAAAGAAAACTAAATGAAAATGAAAATAAAAATGCATAGCGCTCTATGACTGCCCCGCAGCCATCGCAGTCATCCCCACGCGCTAAGAGTTCCCATTTGTGCCCATTTCTCGCTTTTTCCACATAAATTTCAGAAGCTCTTCGCCCAGTTGGGCAGTTGGTTTGCTTGTGTCGGCCAGTTGTGCAAACTGTTTGCAGTGTGGCGCGTGTTTCGGGCCAAAAAGGTGTTAAAACTGTGCCGCAAAATTGTTTTTGTGTCCAACACAGCCTGGGGTTGTTTTAATGACCGTCTGACTTTTTGGCTCGACTATCTCATGATGAACCCGATATAATTACGCATTTTGTCGACAATGAAGTTTATGTTCTTTTACGAGGCGCGTGCCGGATATGTGGCTGAAAGGTGGGCAAGCATTTTTTATAAAACCAAGACACGCAATACTTGAACTGGGGGTTAATATTTCTGGTTTCCTCGTTTATACGCTGTGAAGCGCTACATAATTATAGGAGGGCACATATTTGGATGAGCTCTGAATGGGAAGTTAATTTTTGGGGTCAAAACGTAAGAATCAGATTTTCAATAATATTTTTTGAAGATTGGGTGGAATTAGGAATGTTTTCTAAAAGATCTGTGTCAATTGAAGATACGTGTGTGCATGATGTCATCGATTCAGTCGGATAATTGCGAATTGCGAATTCTCGATCGTATTTCATAAGCTATTTCGTAATCCATTTGTACTCCTTCAACTCTAACACCAAGTTAACCCAATTAACTATTAACCTAATTTACATACAAGCCACCAGCCAAATCTAAAGCCAAAAAATTTGCACATCACGCCGCATAGTTCACATAATTAGCCCAAAATAAAAAAGAGTACACAAATAAAAACTGAAACTCACGCATTGGGAATTGGCAGCTTCAGTTACATAATCATTGGATGTGGCTGATTGATGGATTGGCAAGAGATCAAAGTGAATCAGAGTCAGAGCTGAAGGAACCACTTGGTTGATTCAAAGACTAATTCAATTGCTTTATAATTGAACTAAGGAGGCGCGACGAGGCGCTGAGCCACATTTTGGACTTGGAGTTGATTTAATGAGTTAACTTCGAGACGCGGACCAATCGAACCACACCACACCACATCACACCACACACATGTTGGCTCAGCAGGTTTACTCGCAGGTTGGCCAAGTTAATAATTTAATGGCCAACGTTGTAATTTTTCCACAAAATTGATCAATAATCGCTGGCGCAAGGCCCGAGCCGCGTCCAATTCAATTCAATGAGATTCAATTCAATTGCAATGCAATTGTAATTGAAAAATCGAATTTAATGCCGAATTAATAGAAAAATTTGTTGTGGCGTGCAGTGTGCGGCATGCCGCTGAAGCTGTTGAAATTTTGTGGATGCGATTCATTTGCCGCATGATGGATAGCTCTAGTCATTAGCTTAGTTGTGGGCGTGCCAGCGCCCACGCTAATTAGGCCCCAACCCCTTGCCCCACAGCTGCCAGACAAATGCGAATTTATACGAGGTCTTAAGCATTAAAAGCCATCTCGAAAAGCTTAAAATGTTTTTGCTGCCGCGTGTCCTTTGTTTAATTAGTGCGCTAAAAAATTAGCAAAAAAAAAAAAAAATATGAAAAAAAAAAATATACTATAAATATATAAATAAATGAGTAAAAAAAGATGATCACATAAATATTTAAGCGGATTATGCGGCGATTTATCAAAAGCAATTAAAGAGCACCGAAAATGAGTTATTTTTTATACGATTATTATTTCAGATTTAATGTTGTTGTTGTTGTTGTTCGTTCGTGGAATGCGCTTTGATGACAAATAGTAGCAAAAATGTTGCGCCATCAATTTTTTGCTTGTGCTTAGCAGGAGTAGGAGCAGAAGGTGGAGGGGGAGGTCGGCGAGACAAAATGTTTATAATGCTGCTAAAAGCATGTCAGTACGAGTATCTCGCAGATACAAATCAGAAAGCGGCCCGCAAGCAAAGTGGGCCACGATGCGGCAACCGCAGCCAATTCAGGCTGGCAGCTGGGACAGCCTGGTAGCCTGGTAGCCAGGTGACCAGGCGGCGGCGGCGGCGTCGGCTATCTGTGAAGATCAAAGCCGCTTGAGAAATCTGTGAGATATACGAGTATATTTAGCAGCTCCCGTGGCAAGTGGAGGCCAAGTCTTTAGCTTAAATACTAATTACCCTATGGGGAGCTGTGCATTGCACTGCCGGCTTATCGCCGCAGGAGCCACCACACCACTGCCAAGTCGTGAGTTGCAGGTCCCAGTTTCAGTTGCAGTTGCAGTTGCAGTCTGCAGTCTGCACTACACTACAGTCAACACCGTCTGCGCGGTCCACAGTTGAACAGAGCTCCACGACTCTGCAGTTGGCAGTGTGCGTCGTGCGACGCGTCGTCAATATTTGTCAAACTGTCATTCGGTTTGACATTTACGTTTGATCAACACCAGGCCAGCAACTGGCCCAGTGGCTGTTGTCCATGTCCGC